TGGCTGCCGGTGGCTTCGGGCGTTATCTCTGTGAAAACTGTGGGAAATTTCGCGGAAAAGCTGGTGTCGTAAAATAAACTCATTTGTTCAATATCACAAGTGTGAGGGAAACAAAGCGTCAGTGGCCGGTTTTCCTGGGTGGAATTTTAACTAACTAGTCTGTAGATGCCATTTTATTCTCAGTGAACAACGACAGACGCCGAAATTGGCTAAGGTGCAATTTCGTGATTTATCACGCCTATACCGGTAACAAAATACCGATTTGTCGTGATTCGCGACCTTGATATTTCTTTTACTCAAAAAAGTGCTCTGAGTAACAGCTCACCAAAAGGTGCCAATGGATTATACAACTTCGGAGACCTTGTTGTTTAGGCAAAATAAGTTGGGTGTGCTTCTAGGGAGCGGTCCGTGCGGAGGCACTTAGTATTCGCATAGTAGAATCAAATTTTTGAAAGTTACATCTTGGCCCTGATGGACTGAAACAAACATGCATTTGAGTTCAGGGTATTAGTCCAAACTTATGGGCCCCATCTGGGCATCCCGAGGCTCCAGCGATGCTAGGAAATTATTCCATCAGAAGTTTTGCGCCAGAGGTACGATTGGATGCGTGGACAATAAATGTGATGAGCTGCAGTTAGGCATTAAGATGGAGTCGCGAGCAGGGGATAGGTATAGGGCTCATCTATGTTGTATATTGTACAACAGATTCATTGTTACTCAACTTGCTTCTGAGAGTATACAGCTGCGGGTTCAAACGTTCAGTGGGACTGCAGAATTTAAAATATTGGTAAGCCAAGTTGTGTGACAGGCAAAACCATGGGCGAATAACGCTAGAGAAAAGCAATCATCGGTTAGTTGTCACACTGGCAGGGAAAACCGAAATGTGACGCACAAAGTTGTTGACTGAATGTGCGCGGGTCCGTAAAGTCCAAAAAGTGCTGAAAATGTAGAAATAACACAACTGTGGAAAAGGTCACGTCCAGATCCGAACCCCAGAAGATCGGCCACAGCCTGAAGAATAGCTTTTTGCATATAACTGTGGCATGCATCCTTATATTGAAGGAAATCTGAAATTACCAAAACTACCGGCTTTTGTCAAAGCTTGTTCGTTTATTTGATTTTGCCACTCGGAGTTAGGCAGTCCCTGTCGTGTGTGGGTCACTGGTGATAATTTTCCCGAAATTCTACATTCCATAGAAAGGACCTAATAATAAATAAGTATTGGCCTGATGCACAGTTCAGTAGTTCCTTCCGAACAGCGTTCCTTTGATAGCTAACGAAGTTTTATCAGTGAGGGGATCCGCCGTTGTTATAGGCTATTATATGCTTTAACGTGGAGGACGCATGCCGTAAATGATGAACTTTCTTATTCTGAAGCGATAGAGCATTCCTTATTGTTCTAAGGTATACACCAAACCCTAATCATAAGTTGTTAACTGTTGGTGGATGCATGAATGATTGTGTAAATAGACATATGGTTAGTTAGTGTTTCTAGCCAGAAAACGCCATCGAGACCAACTGCCTTTCTGAAACACCTTCTGACGTACGGTTGTGTACACATGCCAGGATTCTATGGATTACTTGTTGCAGCAAGGCGCTTGACATGGAAGCAGCGAACTGATGCGGACATGATTGCACTTGGTTGGTGTATACAGTTCTTCGCTGCTGCAAAGTGAATGCATTTTTACATTGCATTGTCTAACCGTGATTGACTTCTTGTCAATGAGACCAGGGTGTTAACGCGATCAGAACATTGATCGTAGAAATAAAACTAGACGGCCCTGAATATCAAGGTATCGTCCTACACAAAGATGAACACCATTAAGAGCATCAACAAAGAATTTGCGCAATAAACTTTTCCACTGCGGGTAAATGAACAATAGAAAACTTTCGCATTTGACAAAGAAACGAAGTTCAATGATCGAAAAAGGTTGCTGCATTCGATCAGCATCTTTCAGAGCAATTCGAGAACAAGCATTTCTATTTTCATCACATAAGTGGGGAACCTAGGTTTCATCCAAAATACCAGATTAGGTATGAAAATGTAATGAATTAGAAGCATTATCTCGCCTACCGATCTTTTAATCTTACTACTTATTTAATGTCAGTAGCTTGCAAGCGATTGAGAAAATAAGCCAAAAGTAGTGACCGGCTGTGAACTGTGCTTCAGAATGCGAAGTTTTTCCGTTTTCGTGATCTAGTTGGGTATATGTTGAATTGATTCCCACAATTTTCATCGAGTACGAAAAGACATCTGGTTGAACATGGAGAGACTGTTTGCTCCTCGAAAATTCCCATAGTTGCTCCAGGGATATTTATAGCGGCAACTCATAGAGCAAAATGAGGGAAGTGCCATAAGTTAACGCAGTAAATAAATTTACATCAATTAATACCAATCGAAACCACTGCTCATACGAGATAGTAAAGGCTGTCTCCTGTAAGGCGAGTTCCGTGCTGAAAATCCGATCAGAAAGCTGAAAAAACCTACAAATGACCTGGTGTCCACGGCCAAATGGAATAATTATGACAGTCAACTGCTTTGCGGCGCATGTTCTCATAGTGCTACTTTTTCAAACAAAACTTGGTGGCACTTCTTCGCATTGTATCATACAGATAGATTTTGTGTTCCCCTTTGTCTTACCCAGTTAGCCACTCAACCGTACCCTGCCTCCGGGTTTTGTTCGACGCAATCGACGTACACCAGTGAATTCTTGCCTTCTTAAAGTGACCATGGGGATTCCGTTTCTCCTCAGGGCAGTCCATTTGTCATTTTCAGTCTCCCTTGCATTGCTTTATAGGCAGTTTCTCTCGAAAACCTTCTGTCACGGATGGTTTAAAGTGAGCTCAAACTAGAATTCTTTCTTTGATGTATTTTCCGTTAGGTGTGTTTGTTGCGTTAGTCCTCGCCGATTACTTCTGGTTGTTTTAATCAGCTTGCTGCCGCTGCATGCCACGTAGAAATACCATTTTCAGCTTTCATCTATTGCCGCAGGATAATTGATGTCTTTAAGGATACTCCTTAAAACACTCGTTCTTATACACAACACCCAAAAAATTATCATCCTGGAAGTACCATGCACTCGAACGAAAGAATCAAATGTAGATATGAAGTTTATTTGTATATTCTGGGAATATTGGGGTTCGCTCAACTTGATCGCTCGGATTATTACTGTGTATCTAACAGGGGAGACGGTCGCCAGTG